AGACCCCTTTATTTCGTGCAATCCCGTGTAACTTACATGTATCCCTCTCCCATTCTGATGTATGTTTCGCATTTCTTTGATTATTAGTTGATCTCCTAGGAGCACCCATAGGGACTAGAGCGGATCAAACTATTTTCAAACTAATTCTCGATTCATCATTGAGCCATTTTCAAACAACCTCGTAAGTCTAGTGCTCATACGCATTCGCCATCAACCTATTACAACTCGACCTTTGATGCGTAAGTCAAGTCGGTCTCTTTTTTCAAACCATTTCATTTCCAACACGTTTTGCACACGATAATGAGTCAAACCCTTGATCCAACGTCAAGAGGATTTTTGAAACAAACTATCAATCAACTAACAACTATTCAATTCTTTTTAAGGTGTAAAGTGTAGGTTCAAGTCTTTGATCTTGCTTTTAGTTGTTTATATGCGAGTTATCTTATTCGTGTGTGAGCAATTGACGCCTTTAAATAACATTATCAACGCGACAACATTCAACCATCTCCAACTACTCATCCTTTCAAACAACTTCTTTTGCGATGAAAAAGAGAGTGTTCCAAGTATTTGGTTCGCTTTCCCGATTACTTGGGGTTCGAGAAGTCTTTCTTAAGCTTCAAGTAATTGTCATCATTTCAACCTCATCCTTTCAAACACAACTTCCTTTACAATGAAAAAAAGAGTGTTCCAAGTCTTTGGTTCGTTCTCCCGATTACTTGGGTCCGAGAAGTCTTTCTTAAACTTCAAGTAATCGTCATCAATTCAAACTCACCCTCCCAAACGCAACTTCCTTTTTGAGATGAAAAAGTGAGTGTTCCAAGTCTTTGGTTCGCTCTCCCGATTACTTAGGTTCGAGAAGTCTTTCTTAAGCTTCGAGTAATCGTCATCCGTACCCACTTCAAACCCATTCAATCCCGTTTCTTTTCGTGGTCGTTACCACGAACTACGACTGCTCTGATTCTTCATTCATTCTTGAATGTAAGATACGTAGGCACAAGATTGCAATGATCTTGGCGAGCACAATCCCCTCCATCTCCCACTTCCCCCTATCCTTTCCCGTAGTCGAACTACGACGCTCTGATTTCTCATTCTCGTCCGAATGAGCATACGTAGGCACAAGGGCCCCAATCCTTGGCGAGCACCATATCCTCTAAACCATCCCCTTTCCCTTAGTGTCTTTATCCCTTTATAGTATCCTTTAGCATTTAATAGTGAGAAGAGAAGAAATAAGTTTAGCTAACATCCATCACAACTCGAATTAAGAGGTTCCCGTTGAGTACAACGGACGTGAGGGGTGCTAATACCTTCCCCTCGCGTAACCGACTCCCGAACCCAGGAACATTAGGTTGCGAAGACCGTGTTCCTTCCGCGTTTATGAGGTTTTCTCGATATTTTCCTCTCCCGTCTATTCGGGAAAAATAAAGTTCGGTGGCGACTCTGTCGAACCGCATTTCCATGCCTTTTGTGCGAGGGTCGTATGTTCGAATGAATTTTCGAGGTGCGACAACTGGTATACCAAGTCTTGAGATGCCTGACAAACTCTATGAAGTTTGCTTAGTATGGAAGCAATCTAGAAAGTATTTTGTTTCGACCATGCCAATGAGGTCCTCTTGCATACTAGAAGTAGTACATTCAGATGTATGTGGCCCGTTCGAGGATCATACCATTGGGGGAAACACGTATTTTATCTCATTTATCGATGAGTATAGTCGAAATCTCCAGATCTATGTTATAAAGCAAAAGGACAAAGTATTTAAAATCTTTAAGAGATTTAAGATGCTTGTCGAAAATCAGAGTGAAAAGAAGATCAAGGTTCTACGAACAAATGGAGGCGGTGAATGCACGTCCAAAAGATTTGAGGAGTTTTATGCAGAACATGGTATCTATCACGAGGTAACTGCTCCTTACATGCCTTAACATAATGGAATAAATAGAAAGAAGAAACATGACCATGTTAGATATGGCGAGATGCATGCTGAAGCAGATGAACTTGCCATAGTCTTTATGGGGTGAAACTGTCACTACAACTGTTTATATTATGAACGGGTGCTCTACCAAGAAGCTGAAGAATAAGGTTCCTGAAGAAATGTGGAATGAGAAACGACCATCAGTGAGTCATCTGAAGTTGTTTGGCTCTATTTGCTACAAGCATGTTCCTGATGCAAGAAGAAGGAAACTTGATGATAAAAGTGAACCTATGATTCTAGTATGATATCAAAAATTTGAAGCATACGAGCTATTAAATCTAATCAACGATAAAATCATGATTAATCAATACTTTGTGATTGATGAGAACTCTGTCTGGGATTGGAATTCATGAAATGTGACTAACAAGCCGTTGATGAGCTATGAAGTTGATGAAGAAAGTAGTGAGCACGAAGAAGTTCCAATCGATAATGTTCCAGTCACTATTGAAGTCAAATACCTCAAAGAACCAGGATACTCCCAACAAGGCTTTAATACTGTGAAGTGGTCGGTGATGATGAAGTCAAACCAAATGAAGATTTGGTTCATTTTTCTTTACTTGCAGGTGCTAAACCAATCCACTATGTCGAGGCCTTGAAAGATAAACAATGGAAGGAAGTTATGGTCAAAGAGTTACAAGCGATAGAAAGAAACAACACATGAGAGTTAGTCAAATTTCCAACACATACAAAAGATATCAAAGTGAAGTGGATGTTCAAGTTGAAACATAATGCTGATGGGTCGATAGCAAGAAATAAGGTAAGATTAATAGCTTGATGTTTTCTTCAGAGAGCAGGAATCAATTAATCTGAAGTATATGCACTAGTAGCAAGATTGGAGACTATTCGATTAGTGGTAGCCTTGTCATGTAAGCAAAGCTGGTCGATATTTCACTTAGATGTGAAATCAACATTTTTTAATGGTCCTCTACATGAAGAGGTATATGTCAAACAACCTCAAGGTTTTGTAATATAGGAGGAAGCAAGGAAAGCATACAGGCTGCACAAAACGCTATATGTCCTCAAGCAGGCACCTAGGGCATGGAACAAGAAGATCGACTCATACTTGGTTGAGTTGAGATTCATAAAATGCAAATATGAGTATGGTGTCTATGTTCAGGTTATGACACAAGATATAACAATCACCTGCTTATATGTCGATGACTTGTTAATAACTGGAAATAACTCGGAGAATTTGTCGAAGTTCAAAGAGTTAATGAAGAAGGAATTTGAAATGTCAGATCTGGGAAAGTTGTCGCACTTCCTAGGCATGGAATTTCAAATGTTGAAGCAAGGTATGATGCCACATCAAAAATAGTATGTCAAAGAGATACTCAAGAGATTTAGGACGGAAGACTCGAATCCTGCATTCTCACCTGTCAAACTAAGTTTGAAACTAGAGAAGCTTAGAAAGGAAGACAATGTTGATGTCATTTTTTTCAAACAAATTTTCGAGTATCTAAGATATGTGTGCAACAGTCGATCTGATATATGTTTTTCAGTTGGATTAGTGAGCAGATACATGAGTGAACTAAGGGTGTCACACATGAAAGATGCAAGAAGAATCTTGAGATAGTTAAAAGAATTGACAAACTATGAAATTCTATTTCAACGAGATTCTAAAAGTAAAGAAGCTGAGATTACTTGCTATGCAGATGCTGATTGGTATGGAGATAAGGAAGATCGAAGAAGCACAACTAATTATTTCTTTTAAGTATTTGGTGCCCTAATCTCATGGTACTCGAGAAAGAAACATGTGGTGACATCATCATCACGTAAGCCTGAATATATAGCAGGATCCTTTGATGCGTGTCAAGCAATTTATATCAGATCTGTGTTGGAAGAGATGGAGATCGAAGTGAAGAAGCCTCTGGTCTTGCAAATTGACAACAAGTTAGCCATTAATTTTGTAAAGAATCCAATTCTGCATGGAAGGAGTAAGCACATTGAGGCTAGGTTTCATTTCATAAGGGAGAAGGTAAACTAGGGTGAATTTAAAGTGAGACATTGCTCGAGCGAAGCACAATTGACTGACATTTTCACCAAAGATTTGAAGATCGACATACTCCTAACTTTGAGAAAGAAATTAGAAATAGTTCAGATCGATTATGATTAGTTTGTGTTCGATAACTTAGTTATAAGAGATATATTGTGATATAATCCAAGTTGTAGCCAAAGCCCAAATTAGAATTATGGTTTGTTAGTTATTTAGTATACAAATAACATAGTTGTATATATACATATTTGTAATTCAGTTTTAATAATCACATTCAATAATAATTATCCTTATTTTTCATTCTCTCTCTTTCTCTTCTCACCTAAAATGTCTTACTCACTAACACACTAATTTAATGATTGAAATTTAACATTTTAAAAGTAAATAAATGAAATGTCGCCGATTAAATATTTCTATAGATAGATATCTTTATACTACTACCAACTGAGTTGATTTTATACTTAAAACTTTTTAAATATACACTAACCCTATTTTAAACTACTTTTCCTGCGAAAGACGAACGAAAGACGAACTAAATTATTATAACGTGAAACAATTTCTTCTTTTTTCCTTCCGATATAATTTTCTATTGATTGTTGTTCTGTAATCTCGGTTTAATATCGGCGAGAACATGTTGTATCAGGCTGTGTATCTGTTTATTATTAACAGGTTTAATGGGTTATTATACGAATATGTGATCGAGTTAGTGGTCCAATTTATACTACACCGAGGTATGGTTCACAAACGCCTATATGGAGCAGCAAACATTGCACAAACATTTTATAAGAATTTGCCTTAAGAAATTATCAATAATGTAATCAAAACATTGAACTATCTTTAAGAACAAATACAAGCTTTTATTAATAAGCAACAGCATTATTACTATTATTACAACCAAGGTTTTAAACACGGTTTTTATTGCAAAAATAACTGCGACAAAAGGTATCTGAAGGTTCCGATAATGATAAAGAATAAATTATAGTTTCACACCGCGAAGACCGAAATCGTAATGCAACGGCTACCCTTATTTAAAACCTTGATTACATCTTGCTCATCATGACAGCCCCCATCTCCTTAGCCTTAGCCCTCAGCAGATTCTTCTGTATCTTCCCAGTAGCTGTCTTAGGTAATGGCCCAAACACAACTGATTTTGGGACCATATAAGCAGACATCTTAGCCTTGCAAAAATTCATTATATCCTCAACAAACCTCTTTTCATTACTACTACTCACACCTGGCTTCAATGTCACAAATGCACATGGAGACTCACCCCATTTCTCATCTGGCCTAGCAACCACAGAAGTCTCCAATATTGCAGGATGTGAGTATAGAGTATTCTCTATCTCTACACTGCTTATATTTTCACCACCCGAAATAATAATATCTTTTGACCTATCTTTAATTTCTATATATCCATCTTCATGTTTCACAGCAAGATCGCCGGTATGAAACCATCCATTTGCAAACGCCTCTTCATTAGCTTTTGGATTCTTTAAGTAGCCTTTCATCACGACATTACCACGCATCACGATCTCGCCGATGGTTTTTCCATCAGCCGGAACAGGTCGCATTGTTTTCGTGTTCATTACTTCGAGGTTTTCCAAGGCTATGTAACGAATACCTTGTCTCGCGTGGAGTTTGGCTTGGGACTCCGGTGGAAGCGAATCCCAGTCTGGTTTCCACGCGCAGTAGACCGACGGGCCAAAGGTTTCTGAAAGACCGTAATTGTGCATGACGCGAAACCCGAGTTTGGACATGCCGGATAATAGAGAAGGAGGAGGAGGTGCACCACCGGTATTCACATCTACAACATGTGGTAGAGGAAGTATGGTATCTTCTTCCGGAGCATTCATTATTGAGTTAAGCACCACCGGTGCTGCACAAAAATTAGTCACTTTGTATTTGCTAATGGCTTCGTATACTGCTTTCGCAGATACCTGCAAAATTTTGTAAAAATAATTGGTTAATCAAAATGATTCTAAATTCTAACAAAACCATTGTTATCGCGCATTCGTTTTACCTGGCGGAGACATATGTTAGTTCCAAATAGAGCTGCGAGTGTCCAAGTATAGCACCAACCATTGCAATGAAACATTGGCAAAGTCCAAAGATAAACAGCTCCTTGATTCATTCCCCAAACCATTGCTGCACTAAGCGACATAAGATACGCTCCGCGGTGATGTAACACCACTCCCTTCGGATTCGAAGTGGTTCCTGACGTGTAACCCAAAGTAATGCTCTGCCACTCATCTTCGGGCGCTTTCCAAGCGTACTCAGGGTCTCCACTTTGAAGAAAATCCTCGTAATCAATGGCGCCTTTGCTCAACGCGTATTTAAGTGATTTAGCGTCGCAATTTTCATCGCCAACCACAATTAAAATTGGAGGCTTGAATGTGTTTGTTTTTGTAGACCATATTTTCAATGCTTCTTCTGCCAATAAAAAAAACTCTTGATCCACAATTACAACTGATGCATTACAATGACTTAGAAGAAAAGCTACTGTGGATGCATTTAGCCTAATATTCACTGTGTTTAACACTGACCCTGCCATTGGAACTGCAAAATGAGCTTCATAAATGGCTGGAACATTAGGTGCAATAACAGATACCTGTGGCAGTAGTATAAGAAAATTATGTTACACATTTATAATTTGACATGCTAAATTGTGATCATTACTTCTAATTTTTAAATATTCGTGAAATTTGTTATTTTTCTTTATAATAGTGACATGTTAAACCAATAGCTTGGTGAGTAAGAAAGCTCGTACTCATTCAATTGAAAGCAAGTGAAATAAAGAGTCTTGCCTAACATTCAATACCATAGTTATTAGCTACTTATAGAAAGGTTAGAAATTGTTAGAAACTAAGTCTAACTAACTTTAGTAATGAGTAACTAACTAACTTCCAAAAAAGAAAAAAAAAACTAACTAACAATCAACTCAACTGCTACTTGAGTAAAAAGTAACATGGACATGTTTAACACCCATTAAAGTTGGACTATGAAGATTACATAGACCTAACATGGACAGATTAGAGTAAAAAAAGTTGAATGAAGTGGCTTGGAAAAAGCATAAGCTAATTGGCAGCATAATTAACATATATACTTTTATGTAGTTATTACTAAATTATTTTTTTAATTTTTAAGTATTTAATTTTACTTTTAATTTTTTAAACAAATTGATATTTATAATAAAGATTATATTAAACTAATATTAAAAAATTTGTGGAGAGTTTTCTATTACTAAACAAAAAAATATTTTTAAAAGGTTTTATAATTAGAGATATAGGATGCTAAGCATTTCTTAATATAATAGTTTTTGCAAATGCAAATTGAAAAAGAGAAATGCTAAGTCTTTAGGATACAAGTAAGCAATTCAATATTATAATACTTTTATAAAAGATTTAAGTTTGTAAAACTCTATATAAAAAGACAAATTAAGATTAGATATGAAATTGAAAAACGTGAAATGATAAATTAAAAAAATAGTTTAATAAGGTGGCGATAACTTCAACACCATAAAAAAACAAAGATGACAATAATAAAAGAATTATTAGATCCAAAATAATTGAGTACCAGAATAATATCTATAATGGCAAAAAATATTGTGTGAGATGTGAAAAGGAGTACCATAGTACCCCACACGTTCGTAAATGACAACTTTAATAAACATGTTGATTCGTGCTAAGTAATTAGGTTTAGACACGTTTAATATATATAATATTTTAAATTTAATAGTTCAAATTTCTTTTTATTTTTTAATTTAAGATAGAGAGTAAGTGAATTCGAGAGATTGATTACGAAAACTCTACATCTACTACTCTTTTTACCTAATTGCAATTAGTATTAATTGGAGTAAAAATTAAAAAAAATAAATATTTGGAAAAAAAAAAGGAAATGTTGCACAACAGATTAAAAGTATTATTCATTTGATCTACAATAAAATCACAATAATAAAAAGAAATCCACACTCAAATATGCAGTTTAAAGTTTAAATTTATTATAAAATATTCAACTTAATAATATTAATATTTATTAATTAAATTATAATAAAAAATTTAAAATATTAATTTTTTTATTGATTTTTAAGAGTCAACAATATATGTAGACATCAATTTTAATAGCGTGATGTTTCTTCTTAGGTTGCTCCACTCTTAATCTTCACTGAGGTTTTCGAGCAGCACACATGTGATTCTTTTACTTTTAAAATCTACTCTTTGAAGCTTCTATACAAATATCTTTGTATAATTTTCAACAATAGCGAGTATTTGGCTGCAGTGGTTTGTTTTCTGTTTCGTCAGCTTTTCGGGTGAATTCTACGACGTTGTCCTCCTTTTTGGTTGCAATTATTGGTTTGCAGCGTTAATTGCAATGACTTTTTTGGTGGTTGGTTCGGCGTCGCTCTGATGTTTTGTTACAAAGGTTGAGTCTGTTATTCGTGGTTTTGATTGGAATTTGACTGTTGTTGTTCTCACGCTAACTTTTGACAGTGTTGGTGTTGGATTCTTGACGTTGATCTCTGGTACTTTTCAGGTCTACTAAGATTTGCAGTTTTTAAGGTGATTGAGTTTACAATACCGCACCATTAGTTGTTGGTAGTTAAAACCTTATCGTTGCAATGTTCTATTGTTGTCCGATCAGATGTCTTGAACTTGCTCATTGCGATCTGAATTCATTAGACTTGAAAGGACCATTAAATTTGTGTGATTTATTTCATAGAGATTGTTGATACGTTTATTTATCCGTGTTAGCAGTTGATACATTTATCATTATTAAAGAGATGAATTTGATTGTTCAAGTTCATCTATGATTTTGTTTAGAGTGCTTGTAGAATTTTACACACATTTCTTTTGCAATTTAATTTCGAATTCCATGTTTTTTAAGCAAGAGATTTAATAACTGAGTATTAAGGATACTCAAACTCAGATACAAAAAGATCTGCAACAAAGACTACAAAGAAATATTAAAGACCAATTGAAACTTAACTAAAAAAATACACAGAATCTTGGGGACATTAACATCTTCTATTAGAGACTACCTTCAAACCGTATATTTAATATTTTAAATAAGATCTAAGAAATTGAACTTTTCATCTTTAAAAACCATATTATTTCTAACGATCATAAGCGCTAAACAACTACAAACCAAATCGTTCCAGGATTTTCTTTTCCTCACTTTCGAATTCCACGTTGAATTCCTTAAATTGTGTTAGTGTGTATTTTTTTCTTTGCATTTGTGATTATATTGAATTTATATCTAATTTGTCTTTTTATACCACCTTTATTTTTATATAGTTGTAATATTCATTTAACAATAATATGTGGTTGGTGGGTCATATTTATGTTCTCCAATTTATTTATATATTTTTAATTATGATACTTTCTTTGCTTAAAAAAAATATATATATTTACATCAGTACATTATAAGAAATGTTGTTGCGAGATACTGTATCTTGGGTTAATAATTTACACAAACTTATATTTTATATTTATTTTTGCATATATATTTTTATTATAAATTGTTTAATAATTTTTTATAGATCATTAATATCTCATAAAATAATCAATTGATTAATTTTATTATTGATAAACAAAATTAAACAAAATCAGTTATAATAACACAATAAAGTATCTTACATCCTAAAGAAAAAAAAAGTTTAAACTTGACATTTATTAATATTTTTACTAAAATAATTTTATTATATTTTTTGACAGCAAAATAATATTATCAACTTAAAAATGTCAGCCATGTGTAGCACCGACAACAAAAGTCCAAAATTTTGTTTTTATGTGTTATGTTATGCAATATCCACAATGATTATATTTTCCCTTTATTATTATCTTTTGGTATTTTATTTTTATCTCTTGGTACTTTTATTATGAAGGAAAACTCTAAGAACGTAATTTTAGCAGATCACTAAATATCTTTTATCTTTGCATAATAAGCGTGTTTGCAGTCCAATTTAAGTTTACTTTGAAAAAAATTATTTAATTTAAAATAAAAATAAAAATTATGTTTGATTCGATTTAAAGTTGAGTCTATAATTTGATTTTGAATAAATTTTAAAAAATAAATTTTAAAACTGATCTGTTCGAAAATATTTTTATATAAGAAAATTCAAACATATTTAGAATTATTTAATTTTTTTAATCAATTTACAAAATATTTATTTAAACGTTAAATATGTTTGTAGTTATTTTAAATATCTTATATTTTACTTTTATTTTTTTAAAATTTTTTTAAAAAATTATTTTTCTTTTAAATTTTTCATTCACACTTTTAATCTCTCCTATAAATTAGCAGTTGTTTTCACAATTCGATAGAATTAACTATAATTTTAAAAAAATTTATACTTAACGACTAAAACAACACGAAGAGCTCAAAAATATAAATATTTTTTAAAGAAAAGCTTTTAAAAAATTAAAAGTAAAATATAAAATATTTTAATAGAATCTCATACGTATTTCACCTTTATTTAAATTGATTTAAAGTTAAATACCCTAACCTTTATTTGACTAAGGCACAATTAGAGTGAGGAAGAAGAGTAAAAAGTAAAGACTTGGCATTATTGAGCGGATATTTTTTTAAAATAAGAAAAATAAAAATATAACATTAATATTTTAATTAACAATATAAAATATCAAAAAATTAATTTTAAATAATCTATCTAAATTTTTTTAAAACTCTTCAAAATCGTCATTTAACATAATTTTCAAATTTATTTATTTAAAAAATACTTTGTATTGTGAAATAAACAAATTTTCCATTCAAGTTATAAGACTATTTTTTCTTCCATTTCTCTTTCCTCCTCCCCGCCAGAAAAAAAAGAACATAAGTCTTCTATACGAGTCATTGTTCATGGATTTACTTGGTCACTTGGTCTCAAATATAAACAATGTTTTTAATTCCGTTATTTAATTCAAAAAGAAACTAACAAATATATATATAGAAAGAAAAAGGAAAAAGTGCAATATGAATTTACAGAGAAGTAAGAGATGGAAGGAAGAGAGAAAATTACAGTGTTTCCAAGTCCGATGGAAAAGTTAGAAAGAGCAGAGGCGAATCGGCGGCAACGTTGGTACGTCTGATGCCATGTGTAATGACGAGATCCATAGATGAGTGACTTTCTGGTTGGATGAACCTTAGCTGCTCTTTCCAAAAACCACAATGGCGTCAAGGCTGTGTAGTTTGCTGCGTTCTTTGGCAATTCATCAATGTCTCGTGCTACCATCGCCATTGCTCTCTCTCTTTCTCTCTCTAGCTCTAGTTCTCTCTCTAATGTGGGAAGGACTCACAACAATTGTCTTTTTAATGTGAAATTTTTATACATAAACAATCACAACTTGCTTTACGTTCTGATTAAAGTAATCATAATCATGGAAGCACTCACATTTGTTTGAGGACTGTTTGAATACTTTATTATACTTTTTTGACAATGTAATATAGGTTGTTGTTTTCATATGTTATCATTTGACTAAAAATAATTTAATTTAATTTATTTTAATGTTTTGTTATAGAATTTAATTGATATAACAGTGTAAAAGTTTTTTAGACCATCAGTTAAGGTAATTGTGGATTTATTTAAAATTTAAAATTTTTTTTAACTACATGAAAAATAATACCAGCAGAGGTACGTTGACAATGTAAATTTTTTTTATATTTATATTATTATAATTTTTATGTTTATAAGTTATGTTATTTAATTAATTGAAATTTTACTTTTTTTCTACTTTGGTATTTTAATTATTATTTTGAATTTTTAAAATTATTTTTAATTTTTGATGATGAGTTTCTATAAGATTGAAAATGTGCATGTTTTGTTTTCTTTATAGCTAATTAATTATTAAAAAAAAAAGAGAAAAAGATATGTTGTTATTTAGAGCTGTTAAAATGGGTATGACGCATTGGACCGACTCATGAATCTTATATCTTATTTTGGACTGGGCTAAACAAAAAATTTTAAAAACATAATCCTATCTTCTTGATTTAGTCCGTTGGACCTGTGTTTTTTAAGGGTCAGCCAGCGGACTTTGGGCTAGTTTATTAAAAATTATTTTAATTGATTTTAAGGAAAAAAATTAAATAAACCATGATTACATAAATCTGTTTTCAATTGAAAAAGAAAAGGTAAGAAGGATGAAAATATGTTTTCAAGATGATATGTATGTTAGACGAAGAGAAAGTTAGATAAATATTGGAGATGATATTTAGTTCTCTCTATTTTTACATACTTTTTTGTGATATATATATATATATATATATATATATATATATATATATATATATATATATATATATATATATATATATATATATATATATATATATATATATATATATATATATATATATATATATATATATATATATATATATATATATATATATATATATATATATATATATATATATATATATATATATATATATATATATATATATATATATATATATATATGAGAGAGAGTATCATATGAAAATGTCATTTTTATGTGAGAACATGATAATGAATCTGAACTATTAGATTTTAAATTAAATAGTGGAGCTTACTTGTGGTTTTTGTTTTTCTCTCTCCATTATTAAAATAAATGATGAAGTAGAGAGAAAAAAAACTGACACATAATCTTTACCATTTATTTTAAAATTTAATGGTTTAGATTAATTCTCATGTTCTTAAATAAAAATAACTTTGTCATATGATATATATAGTAGTTAGATTGAATCCAATCTAATGTAAAAAACTAATTTAACCATTAGATTATATTCAATTCAAAGGCTATGATTTAGAGTAAGTTAAAAAAACTTACTCTTGGAATAAGTTGATCTCCATATATATATATATATATATATATATATATATATATATATATATATATATATATATATATATATATATATATATATATATATATATATATATATATATATATATATATATATATATATATATATATATATATATATATATATATATATATATATATATATATATATATATATATTGATTTAATGAATATTTTAAACATCATTTGACTAAGTTTATAATTATTTTGTACTTAAGTAGCTTTTTCAATGTATCCATTTAAAAAAATTAAAATCAAAATATTAAAATATAGGGCGATCTGATCCATTGGGCCGCATGACCCATTAAAATATGGGTCATGCTAAATTTTGATAGTCCACGAAGTAATATGGCCGACCCACTCCAATCCATTTATATATGTTGACCCGCATTGGACCGAAGTGGACTACGCCAGACCGGTCGATTTGACAACTCTATTGTTGTGGAAAATTCTTGTCATGGTAACTTTGTCGTTTCATATAATTGATTTTTAGTTGAATTTTGCGTTTTTATAGAATTGCATCCGGTGCTTAAAAACCTCAATCCAACTGATCAATTAGATCAGTTAGATTGAAAATTAGAAGGTAGGACGATTCGATATGGTTATACGATCGGAATTATAATTAATTCGATGACAATCAATGTGATCTAGATGATTTACCAATTAAACCAGTGAACCAATGGGTCTTTTGAACTAACAAATTGATCTTTTTATGTTTATTTTTTAAACTCATCAAAGCAAGGCTGGTAAAATCACGATTTAAAACCTAAACTCTTAGATTTTACGTTTATAGATCGACGTTTGGTGATAAATCGTAGGTAAAATTGTTTTAAAGTAAAATCGTATACTGAAACGATTTTATACGATTTAAATCTCTCTGAAATCTATAAAATCTTTGGATTTTACTCTTTGACTTAATTTTACCTTTTTTTCGAAATTTTTTAAAAAGCTTAGCCGAATTAAACTTCTCCCACTTTATCATTTTATTCACTTTAAATAACCTAATTTTTTTAACTAGACATTAGAATTTTCATTTACCAGAGCATTGAAAATTAAAAACTTTTGAACTTCAAGATACTACTCTCGACCATAATTCATTCATCTCTATTATGTTGTCGGACACCATTGTCTTATCTTTGTCTTGTTCATTTTCTACTACTGTGCTTTGACTACCAATAAGCAAGGTAAAACTGTACTATTTCAAAAAGAATTTGGGTTTTGTATGTGACACAATTTCTTTTCCTTTTGTTTATTACATTTTTTAAAGATGTAGTTCTCCATTTATTACATAGCCTTGAATTCTCCATTGCATTCGGAGATACGTAGGAGCATGATTGTGAAATCTTGTAGACACCCTAATAAAAAATAAATTTTTTTGTCCTATTCTTTCTTTTCAATAACCCGAGAAGTCTAACATTCCTAAGCTAACACTAACGCGCACAACTAACCAAACGGTTCCCGTTGAGTAAAACAAACATGAGGGGTGCTAATACCTTCCCTTTGTATAATCGATTCTCAAACTCTGATTTGGTTGCGATGATCAATATCATTGTCGTTCTTTTTGGGTTTTATTGATATTTTCTCTTTCTCTATTTTTAGAAATAAATAAAATTTGGTGGCAACTTTGTTCAATCCATCCCGCAAACGTGCGATTGCGTTTCGTGTTCTCATTTTCCGAGGTACGACAAGTTAGATTGAAAATTAGAGAGTAGGACGATTCAATAAGGTTATACAATCGAAGTTGCAATTAATGCGAAGAAAATCAATGTGATCTAGATGGTTTACCGATTGAACCAATGAATCAATGAATATTTTGAGTCAACAAATTAATCTTTTATGTTTATTTTTTAACTCGGCAAAATGATGTTGTTTTGAGTAAGTAAAAAAGTTTAAAAATTAAAAGAAACAAAATTTTTTTCTCTTATTGTATTGTATTATTATAACTTATTTGAATTTGTTTTCTTGATGACTATGTTTAAAACTTAATTTATTTTATAATTGTACTATATTTTAATATTTAAAAATATTCAAAATTTATTATGTTTGAATGTTGAAACTTTATATAAGATTGTTATTAACATATTTGCATTAATAATTTTATAAAATATTTTAGATTTTATGAAAATCAAAAACATTATTTTATAAATATTTTAACTGAAATGTCTTAACCCATTATCTTAATAACTAGTTGAATGAGTGACTAGATTTTAAAACACTACTTGCTTAATTGCATTGCAAAGTCATCATTTGATAATATTGGCATTTTAAAACTACTTTTCAAATCATTGTTTCAAAAAGTATTCTTCCTCGTGTTCAGTGTCGGAACTAGGATCAAACCTTGAAACGTGTCATAAGAAGAATTATCATTAGTTTGAAACGTGTCATAAGAAGAATTATAATTAGAACATAAAATAATGAGGTTAATAATGGCCATATACACATAACGTTAGAGATGTACTAATCAATCGATATGCGTCTAAACATGGTTTAAAAGACTAAGACAAATTACTCTGCTATACATCAAAATCAAAGGAAAAAAATTTACGCCTGGTACCATATATATATATATATATATATATATATATATATATATATATATATATATATATATATATATATATATATATATATATATATATATATATATATATATATATATATATATATATATATATATATATATATATATATATATATATATATATATATATATATATATATATATATATATATATATATATATATATATATATATATATATATATATATATATATATATGAGATCAACTTATTTTAAAAATAAATTTATTTAATTTATTTCAAATTTTGGTCTATAAAATTACACTTAATTTAGTGATTAAATAAACATACTTCAAGAGTAAGTCTTTTTAATTTACTCCAAATCACAGCCCTTCAATTGAATCTAATCTAATGATTAATTAGGTAAAAGGATAATTTAAGCACTAGATTAGATTCAATTCAAAGGTTATGATTTGGAGTAAGTTAAAAAAAACTTACTCTTGAAGTAAGTTGATCCTCAATATATATATATATATATATATATATATATATATATATATATATATATATATATATATATATATATATATATATATATATATATATATATATATATATATATATATATATATATATATATATATATATATATATATATATATATATATATATATATATATATATATATATATATATATATATATATATATATATATATATATATATATATATATATATATATATATATATATATATATATATATCAATTTACTCCAAAAGTAAGATTTTTTAACTTACTCTAAATTATAACCATTAAATTTGATTTAATCGAATGACTAATTAAGTAAAGTGCAAATTTAACCATTAGATTAGA